CATCATCACGGCCTTCTCCTTGGCGGCGGTCGCTCGATGTTCTGCCTTCTAGCCACCAGGGATCGCTCTTCTGGTTGCGCCCGCTCGCCGCCGCCGCTCACTCGCTTGCCGCCACCGCCATCTTCACGCCATCGAAACCGGAGCTGATGTCTCACTGCCGCCGCCGCCGTCTATCTTCAACCACCACACAGGCAGGGTGCCCCCCACCCTACTAAGGGTGGGTACCCATTTATCTACTTGCAATTAAGTTGCTTTCGAACCGCTGGGTGGGCGGGAGCTGGGACAGGGGTCGAGAGCTCACCTCGACCGTGATGGTACTCGAACAGCCATAGGGCTGTTCGTATGATGTTACTGAAGCAGGCATTTAACTGCCTGCGCCACCGCTCCCTTTGCTAATGAGCTGTGCTGTCAGGGGTGTGGCCCAATATGATAATGAGTCCCTGCTGTTGGGTGTGGCCTATTATGCTTATGAGTTCCTGCTGGGCTTTTTCTACAAAAAGAGCCCTGCCGCCATCAATATGTCGACAACACCCAGCTTTGTATCTGTTTGTCCAAACGGGCCAGCGCTGGAACTCTGGACAGACTCATGGCTGACGACGTACCATCAGGTTTGGACCTCCTTGTCATGGCCATTGCCCAAATCGAATGGTGCCACAAGAGATGCTTGACGTGGCTTGCTCCTGGGCCATATTTAGCATCTCGGTTTATCCACGGAAGGTCAACCTGTTCTATTGTTACCAAATGAGATTTGCCTTGTCTTCTTTCATTGTACAAAAATAATGTGACGGCTGGAAAGTCTCCATCTAAAAATGGAAATGGTACCGAGACAAGGTTAACGAATGCCAAAATCGCATTGCAAATGAGAACTGGAGCTCCAGAGGAGTTCTGTCTCTCTTGCCCTTAAATGTCTGAAAACAGACCTGTTTGTCTACCCAGAAGCATCCTAGATCTGGGGAGAATATTAGCAGAGGTTATAGTCTCCTCACTGTTAAATGTAGAGTTGATTTAATCCCATGTAAAAAAAAAACCTCCTGAGCCTTAATAAAGAGTTGTGGTTTTGAATACTGAGTCACTCTCTGAAAGGTACGCACACACAAATATGCCACAGCTGGACGGGAACAGAAAGCAAAGTCTTGCATGAAAAGGCTGCTTCCAAACTCTTTTTTCAAAGAGTAAAAATAAATCTATCTGGCAATCGTGGGCTTTCAATTGTATAAACATATGTGGTAAACATTGGCTATCTGTACAACTGAAGCCAGTTGGTTCGATCCAGAAAAAAAACCAACTGCACCCCTAGGTAAAGATCAACACGCTGTGATCTGATAATTCAGCCATGAAAGCCTTTGACAACATATTGACAGCCTTCAACCACAGATCTGTAATGTATTGGAAGTCACTTACTTGAATCACCTCATTCACCTCCCATGTTAAGCTTGAGCCAGATGAAGGCTCCTAAACACTGGAACGCTATTGGTCGCTCTACAACAAGCGACCAATCTGAGAAGGACTAATTCCCTGAGCGGGAAGAACTTTCATTGGTCCTTATGCACACAACCGCATTGGTTGATATTTGTAAATAGGCGTGGCTACATTAGCCCGGGAAGGTTTAAAAGGAGCCTAGCTCCTAATGTTAAGTCGTTCTGGTTATGAATGCGTTTAAGTGCTTGTTCGTTACTTCAATAAAGCTGAATCACTTCTTTGCTGAAATCACTCTCCGATCCTTTGTTAGCGGCGATCTAACAAGATCTGATAATTGTCTATCAAAAAGCTGGATTCTGCATCCTGAATAATTAAGATGCATGCATTGTAATCAGCAATTGTACCTCTAGCAGACCTCTGGCCAATCACAGCATCCTTCCCCAGGGCATAAGCTCTTAAGAGTCACAGCTTCCTCTGTCAGAACTTTGACTCTCGAGCCGATACCCTGGAAAGTTTGCTGGTCTTTAAAGTGCTACTGGACTCGAACCTTGCTCCTCTAAGCCCATGGGGTTGTACAAATGCGGCACACACACTGCCTCTGCATGTTGTGGCTTCCTTCTGGAGTGCAAACAAATGCACTTCTTGTGTTTTGTAGCTCTTTGGGGACATTATGATTTTGCTCCTCAAGCTCTATGGAAGGGGAGATCACGCTATCAGCAATCCTCCCGATATATAGGGCTCACCATTTCGGTTGACTAGGGCAACACATCTTTTCCAGCGTCAGTACTTATTAATGTCTCTCTGTGTGTGAAGGGCCCTCACGTAGCCCCCAACTCGTGGCAACCCTTTAAATCAACATCCTCCAAAACATCCTCTCGTTAACAGCCTTGCTCGGGTCTTGCAAACTGAGGGCCGCGGCTGTGGGAGCAGTGAAGATATCTGCATGGCAGGCCCGGGTCATTCACCACTCTCCTGGCTGGAGGTTGGGAACTAGAAAGTATGTACGTACTGAGAGCAGGAGTTGGAATCTAGTGACTGCCTAATGACGCAGTCAATTGGCTTTGGCAGAGAGACGAGGTAGATAACAGACAGCTGCCTGCACACACACACATTCCTTAGTTCATGCCTCATGGCAAGATGCTGTAACTCTCGAGATATATGGGAGGGGAGGAGGGAGGGGGGGAAAACGGGGGGGGGGGAAACTGAGCTTATAAATAAACGCTGGGAAGCCAAGAGGCTTCAGTCAGTTTCTGCAGAGCTGTTTGTGTCTTGTCTTCTTTGCATCGTGAACCCCTGCACCAAACTACACGCGGCATCCTTGATTGAGTCAATCCGTCTTGTGCTGGGTCTTCCTCTTTTCCTGCCGCTTGCCACTTTCCCTAGCATTATTGTCCTTTCCACTGACTCTTGTCTTCTCATAGCATGACCAAAGTACAATAGCCTTCGTGTAGTCATTTCAGCTTCTAGGGAGACGCCAGGCTGGACTTGATCTAGAACCCACTCATAAATACATATCCTCAAAAAAGCTGGGTGTTTGATGGTATATACTGAAGTCAGCCCTATTCACACAAAATGGTGACCGCATACCAGGAGGATCATGGGTAGTATGACCTCCCCTGATGTGCAGCTTGAGAGGCAACATTGTAATGATGAGGAAAGAAGCCAAGCTTTATCTGAAGCAGGTAAAAACACTACTTTGTCCTCTTCTTTGCCAATACAGAAGTGTGGGCCATCCATTTATTTAACTGTAAAGGGGAAAAATGAGGGGAGGGAAGAATTTATTCATATCCCTGTAGCTGAGAGCCAGTTTGGTGTAGCGGTTAAGTGCGTGGACTCTAATCAGGGAGAACCAGGTTTGATTTCCACCTCTCCTCCACTTACAGCTGCTGGATAACCTTGGGCAAGCCATAGTTCTGGCACAGCTGTTCTTGAAAAAGAGCAGTTTCTGTCAGAGCTCTCTCAGCCCCACCTACCTCACAGGGTGTCTGCTGTGGGGAGGGGAAGGGAGAGA